CTTTAATCCATAAGACAAATATGTGTGGACTTAAAATTGCCACAATCTTATCAGTAATTGTTTATAATGACAAAGTGTGCAACCCTGAAAGGTGACACACTGAAAGTCGTATTTTTTTTTTTTTTTTGTACTGAGGATCGAACCCAGAAGGTCAGAAATTTTTCCTTTCAACCAATTTCTCCTTTTGTGGAGCTCCAGTGTGTGTGTGTGTGTGTGTGTGTGTGTGTGTGTGTGTGTGGCGCAATTGGTGAGCGCACAGTACTTATACAATTTCTCCTTTTGATCAATTAAAACATCCCTTTTTTTAAATGAAAAAAAACATTATGTTTCTTAAAATGGCACACATAACCTAAGTGAGAAATGTATCTTTCACCTCAACTTTTTTATTCACTTCGTTAAAAATGCATGTGTTAGGAAATCTATGCGGTTTATTGTGAAAACACAGTTCAAGCCCTTTACTGATTCTTTTGTACTTACCTCTGTATCTCTAAATAACATCCTCATATTGATACTTCCTGACTTTTGGGGTTCAGATATTATCTATTCTCTCTCCCTCCGCCCCCTCCCTCTCCACCCCGCCCTCCCCCCCTCTCTTTTCAAAGGCTGGGCCTCCTCTGCTTCTACAACATGCACTTCCTGTCCTCTAGCTCCTTACTACTGTTGCACAGGACAGTAACACAGACAGCCAGAGTTTACATCTCTGTAACTATGTAACTGAATCATGTAGCTACTGTTACACCCCCCCCCCCTTCTTTCTGCCTTTGTCCCACTGAGTTAATAGTTGTATCAAGCTTTTGTTTTTGTTTTGTATGAAACGCAATTCAACCCTAAATTCTACCTTGGGGAAGGGGTAAATTTCTTGCTACCTTTAAACACACTAGGGTTTGTATAGGTTTTATATCTTTAAAGATGCTTCTCAGTAGCCTTCTGGTCAGCATCTATCTTGAGTGGCTCTTTTTCAGGTCTGCTGCATGGCTATCTTCTTGAGATCTCATTTCTCCAATGTAGTAGTCTATTTTCTGTTGCTATAACAAACTATCTGAGGCTGTATTCTTTCTATCTGTCTGCCTGTCTGTCTGTCTATCTGTCTGTCTATCTATCTATCTATCTATCTATCTATCTATCTATCTATCTATCTACTTATCTATGTGGTAGATTAACTAATGGTCAACTTATAATGCCCAGATGAACTGAATCCCTGGTGCTGAGCATGAAAGGTCCGCCTGAGGATTGTTGCAAACAGCATAACAGGAGAAAAGCTTGTTCAGCTGGTTTTCCTCACGTGAACTCAGCTATTCTCATCATCAGAGGAGCTTAGGTCCTTCCTGTTGCTGACAACATCTGTGGTTCTTTCTTTTTTTTTTTTTTTTTTGTCTTTTTCATTTTTATCAGTACCAGGGATCGAACTCACGACTGCCTGCTTGCAAGGCAGGCACTTACGCCGCTGAGCTAAATCCCCAGCCACTAACATCTGTGGTTCTCTAGTCCTGACTTTGAGTGTCACTTCCTGGCTCCAGTACAGACCCCATCAACCTGCTGGCACAGATACTTCATCCCACTGGTGCAGACTTTCTAGCTTCCACCACTCACTTTTGGGTCTTCCCAGTGCAGAACTTTAATATAGACTTGCATGAGACATTGCCATGGGCTCTACGCCTCCAGTTAGACTCATGGAGGACATTGCCCTGGGCTCTAGTGTAAGACATCGCTGTGAGATCAGGCCCTCAGCTGTATTCTTTGGGTATCCAGTATGTGAATGCATCTCCTGTACTCTTTTGCATTTGACTTTTTGGGTGACTATTATAAAATAATGCTAAGAATTATATATCCTGTGTTAAATACTGTCCCTTGTAAACCCTGACTACAACAGTCTATCCATCAATCATGTATCATCTATCTATCCATTGCCTGTCTATCATCTATCTATATATTTATTGGGTTTTTTGAGACAGGGTCACACTCTGCAGTTCAGGCTGACCTCCAACTCACTATGTATCCAGGCTGGCCTTGAAGTTGTGGCCTCAGCCTCCTGAGTTCCAGGATTACAGGTATGCATCACCATGCCTAGCTTCAAGTCTTGGTATTTTATAAAAAAAAAAAAAAAAAAAAGAGATTCAGGACCCAGGGATTCAGGAGCTCGGTGGAATGGTGCCTACCTGGTAAGGGCAAGGTCCTGAGTTTAATTCCTGCTCCCCTCCCCCCCCCAAAAAAAAAGAAAAAAGAAAAGAAAAAAATTCATTTAGCTCACAACTTTGGAGGCTAAGAGTCCAAGATCAGACAGCACAATCTCTTCAGCCTCTGGTGAAGGCATCGTGGTGGATGGCAACACTGGGTGAAAACTTCTGTGAACATGAAAGATCTCATGGCACAACAGGAAGCAGAGAGCAGGGTTGGTCCAAACTTGTTATTTTTATAGCAACTCACACTCACAGGAACTGACTAGCACCCCGTGAGAACTGCATCGATCCCATCATCACCTCCCACATGACTCTACCACCTCGGGATCCTGTCCCACCAGGGACCAACCTTGAAACACATAGGCCATGGGGACAAACCCCGTCCCCCCATAGCCATCACATACTGGGGATTACTTCCTGTCTTTCTTAATTGGAGCCTTTGTTTCCTGGATTCTATATCTTTTTTTTTTTTTTTTCTGCTTCAAGAATTTGTAGGTCTGAAAATGTCTTTACATATTTTTTTTTTGTCTTTTTCCTTTTTATTGGTACCGGGGATCCTTTACATATTTTTTTCATACCTAGTTAATAGCTTGGGCAGAGAATTAAAGTTAAGACATCCTGTGTCTCTGCATTTTGGGCGCAGAGCTGTGTCCCCTAGCACCACAGGCACTGAGCAGCCCAGGCCCATTCTGGCTCATCATGCTCTATCAGAGCCCTGGGATCTCCCTCCTCTGGGCTGGGTTCTCAAGTCCTTGCTGCATCTGCTTTCATCTATGGTGTCAGGCAATCTGGAAATTCACCTTCTATGTTTTTCTTTTTGTTTTATTATAGAATTGTGTGTATAAAATTCTTATGTACATTTTAACAAGATCCAATTCCAGCCCCTTTCCTCCCCTTGAAGTGTAGTTTAGTTTCTTTTTCTTCTTCTCTTCTGTTCTTCTTGTTCTTCTTGTTGTTCTTGTTCTTCTTCTTCTTCCTCCTCCTCCTCCTTCTTTTTCTTCTTCCTCTTCTTCTTCTTCTTTTTCCACTTCTTCTTTTGTATTTTTGAGACAGGGTCTTGCTATGTAGTTCAGACTGACCTTGAACTCACAGCAATCCTCACCCTTCAGCCATCCAAGTGCTGGGATTCCAGGCCTGCACCACCATGCCCAGCTATCCATTTTCATAACACAGTGGTACAGAGCAAGCATGCATGTGCATCTCTTTTTCATTTTATAGGATGTGTGTGTGTGTAACTCTGGGTTTAACCCAGGGCTGTCTCACTGAGCTATGTCCCCAGTTCTTTTTATTTTACTTTTCTGAGATATGGTCTTGCTAAGTCACTAAGTTGCCCAGTCTGAGCTTGCACACATAATCCTCCTGCCTTAGCCTCCCAGAGTGCTGGGATTACAGGTATGTGCCATTATACCTGTTTTTTTTAAAACAATTTTTTTGTCTTTTTCGTTTTTATCGGTACCAGGGATTGAACTCACGACTGCACACTTGCAATGGAGGTGCTTATGCCGCTGAGCTAAATCCCCAGCCCCTCATACCTGGTTTTTAACCACATTTTGATGCAGCAAGAAGACTCCCATCAGATACTATTATCTTCATATTAGAATTTCCAGTCTTGAGAACCATGAGATAAATAACCTCCTGCTCTTTATAAATTACTGTGTGCATGTATTTTATTATATCAACAGAAAATGGGTTAAGGCATTGCCTTTCAGAGGTGGGATGGAGTTGAGATAAGGTTTTGTTAAGTTGTACGTGTGTGTGTACTAGAATTGAACCCAGGGCCTTCTTACTGAACTACATCCCCAGACATTTTTCTTTTTCTTTTTCTTTTGAGATGGGGTCTTGCTAAGTCACTAAGTTGTCTGGGCTGGGATGCACTTGTGATCCTCCTGCTACAGTCTCCTACAGTGCCAGAATTATGGGTGTGTGCTGCCATGCCTGGCATGCATATGAATTTTTTTTATGGATGCTTTCCGGCACTATCTGATGAGACTTGGGGGCCTGCTCGTACTTATGTGTGGAGCTACTGCAAGCTTATTAAAGCTGTACTTGTGGGCAAGCTGCCCCAAAGAGGCCTTGGCCGCAAGGTGCCAAAGGCTATTCCCAGGGACTCCTGAGGGCACCGTATTCGGACTTTTCCTCGGTTGGCCACGTTCTTTACAGAAGCCTCCTCTCTTGTCCTGTCTAATGATGCCACTTTTTATGTCTTTTGTGGCTTCTGCAAACAAAGTCTGCTGTTTCTCATTTTTTCCAGTGATGGCTCAAGATTCCATTTCCTCAGTTCTAACAAGTAAGTTACCACGTGTCCATCAAGTACCTGGCTTGAAACATGTTTGTTCCTATTGTTTTCTCTCATTTTTATGGTTCTTGTGGATTTGTGGCGATACAAAATTTTCTTACTGCTGTTTGAATATGGTTTGGGCATCAACAGAGGTAAATATATGTGATTCACCAACTATCTCTAACCTGCTGCTCTAACCAGAAACCTCTGGTTTCTTTTCAGTAAACCTTTCTTTGAAGGAGAACATAGCTAGGCATGGTGGCACAGGCCTTGAATCAGCACTCTGAGAGGCTAAGGCAGGATGATTGCAAGTTCGAACCCAGACTGGACAATTTAGCACCTTAATGAGATTCTGTCTCAAAATTAATGTTTTTCTTTTAAAATGATTGAGAAAGTCCAGCACTCATTCATGATAAAAAACCTTACAGAATGGGGCTGGGGATTTAGCTCAGCAGCATAAGTGCCTGCCTTGCAAGTGTGTGGTCGTGAGTTCGATCCCCAATAAAAAAGAAAAGACACACACACAAAAAAAACCTTACAGAAAATTGGAACAGATGGTCTTTATCTCAATCTGATAAAAGTTATCTATGACAAACCAACAGCCAACATCATATTAACTGGGAAAACCCAGAAAATTATCTCCCTAAAATCAGGAACAAGACAAGGACGTCCACTGTCTTCACTTTTATTCAATGTAGTCCTGGAAATCTTAGCTGGAGCAATTAGGCAAGAGAAAGAAATAAAAGGAATAAAGATAGGAAAGGAAGAAGTTATTTGCAGATGATATTATACTCTATTTAGAAGACCCCAAAGCTCCACCAAAAGACTTCTAAATTTAATAAACAAATTCAGTAATATAGCTGGCTACAAAGTCAACACTCAAAAATTAATAACCATCTTGTACATGAATAACAAACTCACTGAGAGAGAAATCAGAGAAACAATACCTTTTACAATAGCATCAAAAACAATGAAATAACTAGGAATCAATCTAACAAAGGATGTCAAAGACCTCTACATCGAAAACTACAGTACTCTGAAAAAGGAGATTGAAGGGAATGTTAGAAAATGGAGAAATACACCATGCCTTTGGGTAGGAAGAAGCAATATAGTGAAAATGGCCACACTTCCAAAATTCCAATAGCATATCTCATAAAATTAGAGAAAACAATCCTAAAATTCATCTGGAACCAGAAGACACCTAACAGAGCAAAATCAATCCTGGGCAACAAAGACAAGACAGGGGGTATCACAATCCCTGACTTGAAATTATACTATAAAGCTACTGTGATAAAAAACAGTGTGGACCTGGCAAAAAAAAACAGACCTGAAAATCAGTGGAATGATTAGAAGATGCAGAAACAGGGGCTGGGGATTTAGCTCAGCGGCATAAGCACCTGCCTTGCAAGCAGGCAGTCATGAGTTCGATCCCTGGTACCGGTAAAAAGGAAAAAGACAAAAAAAAAAAAAAAAAAAAGAAGCAGAAACAACTGCAGACACACTCAGCCACCTTATCTTTGACAAATGTGCCACGCACACTCAGTAGAAGAAACATAGTCTCTTTAATAAACAGTGCTGGAGACAAAAAAAAAGGGGTTGGAGATTTAGCTCAGCAGCATAAGCGCCTGCCTTGCAAGCAGGCAGTCGTGAGTTCTATCCCCGGTACCCATAAAAAAGAAAAAGACAAAATAAATAAATAAATAAATAAATATAATAAACAGTGCTAGGAAACTGGCTGTATACATGCTGAAGATTAAAACTGGACCCATATCTTTCACTAAGCTACAATCAGAATGGATCAAAGATCTTCATATTAAAATAGAAACATTAAATCTGCTGGAAGATAAAGTAGGCAAAGACTTTATGAACAAAACTCTGATTGCATAGGAACTATCACAAAGAATCAACAACTGGGATCTCACCCTACTGAAAAGCTTTTTTTTTCCTTTTTGAAAAGCTTTTGTACAGTAAGAGAAGCCTCCACCAGAGTAAAGAGACAACCCATGACATGGGAGAAAGTGTTTGCCAGGTGTTCCTCAGACAAAGGATTACCATCAAGAACATATAGAACTCAAAAAAGTCAGTCCTCCCAGATTTAATGACCCAATCCAAAAATGGGCATCTGAGATGAATACATACTTCTCAGATGAAGAAATACAAACAGCAAATAAATGTATGAAAAAATGTAGCTTAACATCACTGGTCATTCAAGAGATGCAAATTAAAACAACACTGAGATTCTACCTCCCACTCTAAAGAAAGGCTACTATCAAGAAATCAAGCAATAAGAAATGCTTGGAGGGGTTGTGGGGAAAGTGGAACTTTCTCCACTGTTGGTGGGAATTCAGACTGGTGCAACCACTGTGGAAATCAGTTTGGAGATTCCTCGGAAAACTAGGGTTGAAGGTTCCTATTTCCTTCTGCATATCTTCCCAAAAGAATTAAAAACATACCACAGTGATATTTGTGCACCTATGTTAATAGCAGCACAGTTTATAATAGATCTTGGAAACAATCTGAATGCCCATAGACTGAGGAATGGATAAAAAAGATGTGGTTTTTTTTTTTTTTTACAATGGAATACTACTCAGCCATACAGAAGGATAATTTGAAGACTTTCATAGGTAAATAGATGCACCTTGAGTACGTACTCATTAGTGAAATAAGACACACATATGTAAACACTGTATTGTTTCATTAGTGTGACAAGGTGAAAGAAAAAACATGTATATGTGTATGTATATATATATATATATATGTTAAAATATATAAGTATTAGGCTGGATAAAAAGGAAAAAGACAATATATATATACATACATATATATATACATACATATATATATATATGTATATATATATAAGTTAGGATACTTATACTACTGATTTCTCTGAGTTTGCTGAAGAGAAAGGTTTGTGCTGCTTTCATTCAGACAATTGAATGTAGATGTCTTGTGCTCTGGGCAAATGATTTGGGGCTAGCAATGTGCAGTATATGTACTATTGTTGCCCCCTGATTGGTGTGCTTTGACGTTTTGTAGTTTTTTCCTTTCCTCTTTTTTTCTTTATTTTTATCTTTGAATAAAATGGATTTTTAAAAAAATGACTGGGTAACTAGCTCTATAGGAAGGTCCTGATTGAATCCCCAGAATCAAAAAACAAAACAAAACCCAAAAACCCACAGTCATCACATTTGTTTACGACTAAATTGTTTGCATTCTGATAAACTGTTTAAAAGTTCAGAAAAGGAAGGAATAGCTTCATGGAAAAATTGAGACTTCAGGGATATGGGCTGATTTGGACAAATAAAGGGAAAAGAAGAAAAACTTCAAAAGTGGTAGACAAGACCCAGAAATGGAAGGAGGTAGGGGACAGGAGAGGAAAGGAAGGCAAAATGAGTGGAGATGTGTTTTGAGGGCTGGCGATGTAGCTCAGCAGCACAAGTGCCTGCCTGGCAAGTGTGAGGTCATGAATTCAATCCCCAGCACCTAGACCAACTCCCCATGATGGACATAACCATTATGTGCTGCAAACATGTACTAATACAATGAGTTAAACAAAAAAGGGAACAAGTAGTAGATGAGGCTGTGGAGTTAGCTCGTGGTGGAGGGCTTGCCTGGCATGCATGTGGCCTTGGGGTTTGACGCCAGCACCAAAGAGAGCCAAACCAGACCAGAGCACAGTGGGAGACCACGACTTTCCTGGAAATGAGAGAGTCAAGAACACAGAGGGAAGAAGAGGATGAAGGGCAAATGGCAAGGAAACCTTTTGGGCCTGGAAAAGAAGACTGGATTTTCTGCTGGAAGGAATGAGAACTGTTTTTCATGTTATCTGACTCAGGGTACTGCTCAAACTTTTACACATTTGAATGTTGATGACGATGTTTACAAGTCTAGACAAAATGTGGGTATTTGTACCGTTTCCTGACGGGAGCCCAGTTGGTGTCGGTGATGCATGCTGGTTGCAGCAGGTAGAGCGGGTGGAAAAGCGGACGCCGTCACGGTGGTGCCTGATGTTTGAGCGTCATCTCCAAGGCTCCGCGCTCTGGCTTGTCTGTGTACTCATTTATAGAAAGGACAAGGTCAGGGAGAGAGAGTGCAGAGGATTATCAGTTCAGCATTGTCACTCTTAGCTAATGGTGAATGTTTGGCTCTCGATATAGATGCTGTAAAACTGAAATGTAATTTTCATTTTCAGTTAAAAGTACAAAATTTTCTATGCCTGTTAAACTCCTAAACCTGTGCAGGAATAAAAAATCAAACAGAAATAAAGCATAAAGGAAAAAAAGCAAGTGTTACTTCTGCTTGAAACCAACATTTGAAAGGAGGGTTAGCTGTCGTCATGTTAGCATCCCTCAGACGTGGCAGGAGCCCTTCATCTGAGCAGTGTTTCTGAGGGTTTGCTTGGTTTTTAGCGCTTTTGCAGACACTGTGAATCCTGCCATTGCCTCACTGGTGATATAACCTGGGCGTGGTGGTGCACACTTGTAATCCAAGGATTCTGGGAGACTGAGGCAGGAGGACTACGAGTTCAAACAGCCCGGGCAACTCAGTGAGACCCTGCCTCAAAAGAGAGTGGAGGGTGCTGAGATGTAGCTCAGTGTGAAAGCCGTAAATTTAACCTTCAGTACTTAAAAAAAGGTGTTATAGGAGCATTACATAATTGTTAAGGAAGGAAGGAAAGAAGGAAGAGGTGAATGGATACAGAATGCATTTTCCCCCCAAAGAAAGCCATCTTGAGGAATGAGTATTTAATGCAGTCTGTGAAGATGTGTCCTTCACATGAGTCAGTCTAAGAGGAAAAGCCAGTGCCTCTGTGCTCATCAGCTTGTATTAGTTGGGAAAATTTGCATCCCAGCTCGGCGCTGGGCTGGAACCTCCGGCACATGAGCAGAGCCGTCCCAGGTTAGCAGCCTTCTTACCTCAAAAGCCCCCTAAAGAGTAGTCAGTGGCAAGGGTGACATGGGTGGCTGCTGAGGAGCTCCTGCTGATGCACAGGTTTTCAAGGAAGGAGGTTCTTTCTGCCTCAGAGGTCAGCAGTTGTGTTCTATGAAATGCTTGCTGTCGGAGGAGAGCAGCTTGATCAGAGCTGGAGGGCCTCTCCACAGGCCAGTTCCAGGGGAACACTGCTGGGGTACAAGCCAAACCCTGTCCTCCTCGGCAAGAAATGACGCACGCACAGCCTTCCGATCTGATCTCCTTGTACAGGGATGAACTCCTTTTTCAGTTGCCAAAGCATTTTCTTCCAAATAGGACACATAAGTAACATTTTTTTTTTTTTTGAGTATCCACTGTGTGTAGGGCAGTGAGGAAAAAAAACATGACTAAGAATTGATCCAGTCCTCAAGGAAGTTAGAGCCTAAGACGAAAACACACACACACACACACACACACACACACACACACACACACACGGTTCTTTGCAATACTCTCTAAGTGTCACTGTGCATGCCGTCACTGTCACAGTAATGCTGCACTATGACAGTACTATTCACAACTATCCAGGTACTGAGGAGGACTTAGCAGGAGGCTCCTCCTGTGAAGATGGTCCCTGCCCTGAGTGTACTCCAAAAGAACAAGAAATCATACTCAGGGCAGGAAGGGAGGCTCAGGTCTCAAAAGAGTTGGAGATTGAGTCATGGGAGTTGTTCCTGCCACACTAAGGAGTTTAAACTCTGCCTTGTTTTAGGCCATAAAAGGTCATTAGGAGGTGGCACATCCCAGTAATTCCAGCATTCAGGAGGCTCAGGCAGGGACGGCTGTGAGTTCAAGGCCGGCATGGGCTACATCGTGAACAGTGAATCCTATCTTACAGAATCAAAACCAAAACAAACAAACAACAACAAAAAAAGAGTCATTAGAAAATGTGAAGTGAAATCTGACATGAGCTTTGTAGTTTAGATGTTGTATTGGTTTTCTGTTGTCCAAACAAATTACAAGTATAATTTTCTTCCCCCTGGAACTAGGGAACAAACCCAAGGTCTCATGCATGCCAGGTTTGTGCTCTGCCACTGCCCTATGGCCCTATCAAAAATAAAAAGACTTAACACAAGTTTGTTATCTTACTCTCTGTCATTCAGAAATCCAGTTTGACTCAGCTGAATGCTTTGGCCCCAGACTCGTGAGGGTGAAATCAAGGTGTCAGTAGGTTGGATTCTGAATGCCCATTCCGGGTGGTGGCAGAATCCAGCAACTGGCCATCGTGGAGCTGGTGTTCCCACTTCCTGCTGTTGGGAGCAAGAGGCCACTGGCTTCCCAGTCTCCTTCCCAGGTTGGAGCAGACTCGGCCTCAGGCAGCCGCACATGCTGGGCCTGGGACGTCTTTGCCAGTCACTCTTGCTTCTAGCTATGAAAGTTGTCTGCTTTTCAAGGCTTGTAAGACTGATCTCATCTGAATAATCCTGTTGATCTTCTTGTTTGAAGTTACATAACCTTAATTGGGGCTGCGAAGTCCTTTTATCTGTGAGGTGGCAGTGACAGGTCCCAGGGATTGCGATGCATTTCCTGGAGCAATTTGGTCTCCTCATCTCAGTGTGCAGGCGGCCTCCAGAGTAGAGGGCTCAGACTGGCGGGAGCACAGGCCTGGGATCCCTGTGAAAACAAAGAATAATAAAGGAGTAGACGGGTCCTCTGCCCTGTGTCTGAATTTTTTAAAGATGGTTCTAAAGTATAATATGTACCCATTTTACATGTATGATTCAGGGATTTTTTACTAAATTTATGAAGTTGTGCAACCATTACCCCAATCTAGTTTTAGAGTTTTCCCATAACCCTACAAAGATTTCTCATACCTCTTTGCAATCAGTTCATTCTCTTTGGCTCTCCCCTCCCCACACACCAGAGATGTAACCCAGGGCCTGGTACCTGCCAGGCAAAAGCTTACCACTGAGGTCCAGTCTGAGCCTAGGCTCTGCTTCCTTGAAATGTTAGTGCTGCTCAGGACTTCTTTTGCTGCTCTGGACAATGTCTACATTTAAGATATTCTTTGGTTTGTTTGCTTCTTGAGACAGGGTCTCACATGCAGTGCAGCTCAGGTTGGACTTGAACTCAGTCTAGGTGTAGTCTAGGTGAACTCACAGCAATCCTACTGGCTGAGCCTTTTGAGTGTTGGAATTATAGATAGGTACCACCATACCTGGGTTAAGATACTACTTAGTCTGCTCAGGCTGCTATAACATAATACTACAGATTAGATGGCTAAACAAAACAAATACACATTTATTTCTCATTTCAAAGATCAGAGTGTCACAGCTGTCAGGTTCTGGTGATTCTCTCTCTCCTCTCTCTCTCTCTCTCTTTCTCTCTTGAGACAGGGTCTCACTGTGTAGTCCAGTCTGGACTTGAACTTGTTATGTAGCCCAAACTGGCTTCAGACTTGCAGCAGTCCTCCTGCCTTAGCCCCCCAGATGTTGGGATTATAGGTATGTGCCCAGGCCTGGCTGGTGGCCTAGAGACAACAGCATTCTTGCACACTCACATGTGGTGGGGGGAGAGGGAGGTGGAGAGAGAGAAAAGGCACTCTGGTGTGTTTTTAGAAGGGCACTAATCCCATTGTGAAGCCCCACCCCATTATTTTAGAACGCTAATCACCCCCTCAAAGGTCTCCTCTCCTAATATGCATTGAGGGTTAGGGCTCCAACACATTAATTCTGGGGAATGAATATCCTGTCCATAAATCCAGTTGTGCAGGGAGAGACATCAGGTGTCTGCACTGGTTATATCAGAGGGATGGAAATGGAGGGCTGTGGGTGAAACCATTAATTATTTTTTGGAGTCCTGGGGACTGAACCCAGGCCCTTCACACTGAGCTACATTCCAGCCCTTTACAGTGTCACTGTGAGACCAGGTTTTACTAAGTTGCTAAATAGCCCAGGTTGGGTTTAAATTTATGATCTCCCTGCCTAGGCATCATGGAGCCATCATACCTGGCTCAGCTGTCTTTTTTCTTTTTTCTTTCTTTCTTTTTTTTTTTGTGTGTGTTTCTGAGACAGGGTCTCATTATGCAGTTCAACTGGCCTTGAGCTCACTTTGTAGCCCAGGCTGGCCTCCAATTTGCAATCCTCCTGCCTCAGCCTCCCAAGTGCTGGGATTATAGGCATGTGCCCTCATATCTGGCCTGAAATAAAATTCTTAATGACATTAAACATTTTAATAAGTCGTTCTTCTGCTGGGCATGGTGGTACAAACCTGTAGTTCTAGCATTTGGGAGACTGAGGCAGAAAGATCACTGTGAGTTTGAGACTAGCCTGTACTACATAGAAAGCTCAGGTCAAGTTGAGCTATATAGTGAGACTGTTTCAAAATGTAAAAAAAAAAAAAAAAATACCTACACACAAGAAAAGACATTCTTAAAAATTAAAAATAAAAGTCATTCTTCATTATCCTGTGCCTAAACGGTAAAAAAAAAAGTTTCAAATGGCAAGGAGCAGAAGTATCATCCATGCATTTTGTGAAAGACCCTGAGATCCAGACAGGTGCCAAAGCTTCCATGGCCACCGCCTGGGTCCCCGCCCTGAACCTGAGGCAGTCAATAGGCTGGCGTCTGCCCCACCTGCCGGTCATTCGTGGAGGGTCGGTTCAGACTCGCAGAATGCACAACCTCCCAGTTTAGTTTTTAGAACAGAAACTTCAAGAGAAAACCAGATCTAGGAAGGTGGGGGAGACCAGTACAAAATATTGCCACGTAGCAGTTGTGAAATATTAGCAAAGCTCCAGGTTGTATTCAAGCTTAGCAACTGCCAGATGTTTGCTTTTTATGTTTGAAATTTTAAGCTTAAAAAACAAAAAACAAAACTCAAAACACCAAACCGAAACCAAAAAAACTTCTGAGAAGGGTGATAGAAAATCATATTGGCTGTCTCAAAAACAAAAAGCTGTACTAGCTTTTTACAGTTTGAAGGAACAAAAGAGAAACTCTAAATAGGAAGTGTCATTTTTTTTTTTCCATTTCTAGTTCATGGTGGTTCATCTTCTTTTGTTTTTGTTTTTTTTGTTGTTGTTGTTGTTTGTTTTTTTGAGACAGGGTCTCATGTTGTAACTCAGGCTAGCCTTGAACTCTCAGAGATCCTCCTGCCTCAGCCTCTTAAGCACTGGAATGACAGACTTGTACCACCACGTCTGGCCTTGTGGTGTTTATATTTTAGAGAACACATTAAATTTAATGGGTTAGAGCTACTGGATTCTTAGGTCTGTTTATTTCTGTTCACTTGAAAAACAGTCATTTAGCCTCATCCATTCTTTTAATGAAGTAAGCAAAGCTCACCATTTACTTCAAGAGAACCATTTAGAGCTGAAACCCAAGAACCCTCAGTCTTGTTTCCATTCTGTACCCTTTGGTTTTGCTTACTGTGCCAAGTCCCCATGCAGATTTTGTCCACCGAAATGATCATGAGTGAAATTAACAAAGTATCATTAAACTCTGACACTAGCCAGGATAATTTCCATAACTCTTAAGATACATTTCCCAGCTGTTTGTGTTGGTATTGGTGATTGAACTCAGTTCCTCACATGAGTGAGGAACACGTTAGATCACTGAGCTAAATCTTCAGAACTCTTTAATTTTATTTTGAAGCTGGGGTGTAGCTCCGTGGTAGAGCCCTCACTCAGCATATGCAAAGTTCCAGGTTCGATCCCCAGTGCTACAATGGAACAAAAGGAAGGAATATTTCATGCGTGACGCCTCTCACAAAGGTGTCTAAAATGACTTTGAACTTTGATCCTTTGGCCTGGGTTCTCCGAGCAGCTGAGGTAACAGGCATGTGCCACCTTTCCCAGCTATTTCACAGTCCTTGACAAGCAAGATGCTTTACTTTTTCATAAGAGTAATAAATTGACAACAAGAGAGAGGTTTATCTCTCTGTGAACCATACAGCAGAATTTTTTTTGTCTTTTTGAGATAGGGTCTCTCTGTGCAGTTCAGGCTGGCCTTGAGCTCACTTTGTAGCCAGGCTGGTCTCGAACTTGTAATGATCCTCCTGCCTCAGCCTCCCGAGTGCTGGGATTACAGGTGTGAGCCACCACACCCAGCTCATACAGCAGAATTTAAAGTCAGGAAAGGGGCAAAGCCAGATAAATAATAATTTGTAAAAAAAATAACCATGCTAGGGGATATAGCTCAGCGGCATAAGCGCCTGCCTGGCAAGCGCAAGGTTGTGAGTTTGATCCCTGGTACCAAAAACCAAACCAAAACAAACAAACAAACAAACAAAAAAAACCCATGCTATTGAAATATCACACGTATAACATAAAATTTACCTTTGCAAAATGTAAAATTCAGCCAGGCATGATGGTGCACACCTGTAATCCTAGCACTTGGGAGGCTGAGGCAGGAGGATTGCTATGAGTTCAAGGCCAGACTGAACTACAGTAAAACTCTGTCTCAAAAAGACAAAAAAAAAAAAAAAAAAAAGGCAAAAATTCAGTAGCTTTTGATTTTTAGTACATTCACAAAGTTGTGCCTTAATCACCACTATCTAATTCCAGAACATTTCTATTACTCTAAGAAGCAACCCTGTATCAATGGTACCAAACCTATGGCAAGTGTGCTATAGTAGGTTGTTATTGAAGTATCTAAGGGGCTGGGAGTTTAACTCAGCGGCATAAGCGCCTGCCTTGAAAGCAGGCAGTCATGAGTTCAATCCCCGGTACCAATAAAAAGGAAAAAGACAAAAAAAAAAAAAAAAAGATCTAAAAGGGTACATGCCTGTAATCCCAGCATTCAAGAGGCTGAGGCAGGAGGGTTGTTTTGAGTTCAAAACCAGCCCGGGCTACAAAGTGAACTCAAGGCCAGCATGAACTGCATAGTGAAACCCTGTTTCAAAGAGACAAAAAAAAAAAAAAAAAAGATGTAAAAGGTTTGTCATCACTGCCTTACATTACTAGAAGTCCTCCCCAGAACTTTTCTACTCTGACTCTTAAAACCACTTATCTAGTTTTTGCCTTTATGGATTTGCCTATTTTGGAAGGCTACCTGTCAAGTTCTGGCTTAAACAAGTTAGGCTATAGGTTTTGCTTTAGTTTGTTTTGTGATAAGGTCTTATTATGTACCTTAGGCTGACCTTAAACTCACAGTGATCCTCCTGCCTCTGCCTGCCAAGTGCTGGGATTACAGGAATGTGCCCAGCATGCCTGGTTTATAGGTTCTGTTTTGACAGATAGTTTATCATGTTAGCAAAAATGAAAGAGATTTAAAACAGGAATCCTCAGTTGAGTCCTAAAAATGTTATTTTAGGTTCAACTGATATATTTCAGCTTTTACTTAGTTAAAGCTGATTTTTTTAGATGCCTTGTGTATATGACTACCAACCTTACAGAAATAGAAAACATTAGAAAAGAGTATGATGAACAATGATATCCCAATAAATTAACTTACAGAAAATGGATAAAGTCTTATGGAAAAAAAAACCCTACCAAACTTCAGGAAGAATTAGAGAATCTGAGCTGAACGTGGTGGCAGATACTTGTAATTCTAGCTGTTTGAGAGACTGTGGCAGGAGGGTCATTAGCTGGAGGTCAGTCTGAGCCACTTAGTGAGTCCTTGTCTCAAAACAAAATAAGAAAATACAAGGGCCCAGGATGCAGTACAGCAGTAGAGAGCTCACCTGGCAGGCGCAAGGCCTTGGTATGGTCTCTAGCACTGCCAAAAACCAAAGAAAAAGAGAAAAGAAAACCTGAGCCGGGGTGGTGGCACAGTCTGTAACCCCAGCACGGTGGAAGGCCGGTGGAGGTGGGTCACACATTCAAGCCCAGCATGGGCAATCTAGTGTGACCTTACTAAGTAAGTACTGATTAATTAAAAAGGATTAAGGATGTTGTTCAGAGCTCAGTCCCTTGTGCCAGCCCACCTCAAATCTAAATAGACCCACCAAAGTAAAGAAATTACTGAAAAACGTCCACAAAAAAGCCTAGGTCCAGATAGATGGCTTAACTGGTGAATTTAAACAAGCATTTAAAGAAGATTTAATACTAGTCCTTCACAAACTCTTCCAAAAATAAAAGAAGTAACACTTCCCAATCCTTTCTATGAGGCAAATCTAACTCTGACAACAAAACCAAAGATATTATAAGAAAAAAACTACAGCTTAATATCTCTTATATAAAAGCAAAAATCCCCAAACCATTAATAGCAAACAGAATCTAGCAACATATAAAAAGGATGGATAGTCTGCCGTGATCAAATGTGTTTTATCTCAGTGATGCAAAGTCAGCTTAACATCTGAAAATAAATTAATACACATATTATTATTATTAGAATAAAGAAAATCATATCTCAAAAAATGCAGGAAAAGCCTTTGACAAAATCCAACATCACTTTGTAAAAAACAAAGATAAAAGCAACTAGCTATGCGTGGTGGTGCGCACTTCAAATTCTAGCACTTTGGTGGGTGGAGGGAGGCGGACCACAAATTCCTGGGTAACCAGCAACACCCTGTCTCAAAATGAAAAAAAGAAAAGGTCCGTGGATCAGCCTCAGTGTGAAGGACCAGGGTTCAATCCCCCGAACAACAAGCAACAAACCAAGGCAGGCATGATGGCACATGTGTATAATCCCAGCACTTGGGAGGCTGAGGCAGGAGGATCACAGTGAGTTTGAGGCCACCGTGGGCTCCACAGTGAGTCCAGGGCCAGCCTGGACTGCATAGTGAGATCCTAATAACAACAAACCAGAAATAGGAACTTCTATCTCTACCTAATAACTCTATCTGTACCTAATAAAGGCTTTGAAAAGCCCACCACCAACATCATATTTAATGAAAATTCCTCAGAGATAAAGAACAAGACAAGAATATCCATCCTATTATACAGTGCTTTAGAAATTATAATCAGGAAAATTAAATAAAGGGCCTTTCATGGCTGCAGGCATAGCTCAGTGGTAGAGCACTAGCCTTGTATGCATGAGGCTCTGAGCTTAGTCTCCAACACCACAAAAAGAAAAGAAAGCACTGGGTGTGGTGGCCCATGCCTGGGATCCCAGCACCAGGAGGCTGAGGCAGGAGGCGGAGTGTGAGGCCAGCTGGGGTGGCACAGTAAGTCCAGGCCAGCCTGGACTAAATAGGGAGATCCTGTCTCAAAAAAAAAGGCCATGCAGATTGGAAAAGAAGAAGTAAAACCGCTTCTTTTTGCAGATGACAAAATCACATATACAGAAAACCCCAAAAAACCCGCTAGGAAATTAGAACTGTATCTTTCATCATTAAGGAAGAGCACATCAAAAGTACAGTCATGTATCACCTCATACCTGTTGCAATGGACATTCTCAAATCAAGAAAACAAAACTAGAAAATGTAAGGGATGGCAAGAATGTGGGGAAATTGCAAAACTTACGCTTTGTGGGTGGGAATGTAAAAAGGTCAGTTGATATAAAAAATAGTATAGTATCTCCTCAAAAAGTTAAAAATAGATGTGCTGGCCTGGTGGCACATGCCTGTAATCCCAGTGCTTGTGAGACTGAGGCAGGACTGCCATGAGTTCAGGGTCAGCCTGGGCTACATCACAAGACCCTGTCTCAAAAAACCAAAAGAAAGAAACAAACAAAAAAATAGAACCACCAAGTGATCCAGCAATTCCACTTTATGACATTTATTCAGAAAAATTAAAGTCAGAAGTTCAAGAAAATATTTGTATCCCGTGTTTCTATTAGCAGTATTCATAATGGCCAGAAGGCAGAAACAGTCCAAATGCCCACTGATAGATGAATGAATAAAGAAAATGCAGCATATTCACACAATGGACTATTATACAACCAGGCACAGAATGCAGTCTGGCCTACAACATGAATGAGCCTTAAAGATTTCATGTTAAATGAGATAAACTTGATCGCACAGAAGGAAAACACAACATGATTTTATTTACATGAGGGATCTGAAATAGATTCATAGAATCAGAAGCTAGGGCTGGGGATACAGCTCTGTGGCACAGGTACCTACCTGGTAAGCATGAGGTTGTGAGTTTGATCCCTGGTACCAAAAAAGAAAGAAAGAAAAGAAAAAAAGAAACAAGAGTTAGAATAGTGGTTACCAGGGTCTGGGAGAGAAGAAAAAGAGGTGTTGCAATTCAGTGGCCAAAGTTTCAATCATACAAGATAAAAAAAATCCTCTAGACCAGTGTACAGCCTTGTCCTTATAGTTACCAACACTGTGTTGAAGACTTAAACACTTGTTAAAAACTGTCGATCTTGTGCTTTGTATTTTTGCACATAAAAAAATTAATGAAAACAGCAAAGTGGCAGGACAAAAGGTCAGTATACAAAAATCAATTATAGTCCCATATACTCACAATGGGGAGTCCAAAAGAATGCAGCTGGAGGAGGTGGCCCTTGTCTACACAGAATCCCAGCTAGTTGGGAGGTTCCAGCAGGAGGACTTCAAGTTCAATTCCAGCCTGGGCAACACAGCAAGTCCCTGTATTAAAATGAAACAAAAAAGTAGCTCAGTGCTAGACTGCAAAAATTGGCAGTTGCTTAGCGGTATTGGAAAGAAAGAGGATTGATGTCAATTGAGTCCCAGTCATATTTTAAGTCCTACGCTGGGTAAAAAAAATTCAATCTGATGGAAGATTTGGACACATTGACAGTTACTACCCAATGCACTAATTATAATGGCAAAGGTGTATGCCAGAGGCCACTAGTACTGGAGAGAAAGGAGATATTAGTCAGTTTTCCATTGCTGTAACAGAATACCTGAGGCTTCCTAATTTATAAAGAAAAGAGGATTATGGCCAGACATGGTAGCACATGCCTGCAATCCCAGAGACTTGGGAGGCTGAGGCAAAAAAAATCACTGTGAGTTCAAGGCCAGTTTGGGCTACAAAGTGAGTTCAAGAGCAGCCTAAAGTGCATAGTGAAACCCTGTCTCAAAAAGAAAAAAAGGCAGAGGAGAGCTTTATTTGGAGGAGGCAAGTCCAAACAGCAGGGGCCTGGTGATGCTGTGGGTCTCCTTGGCTGTGTCACTGACGGCACATAGTGTGCACAGGAAGGCAAGGTCACAGGAAGCGAGGCTGGCTGGGTAGTGGCCAGGTTGCTCTTTTCGTGGTGGTGGAGCTGGAGAGCGAAGCTGGGACCACGTACATGCTGAGTGTGGAGTCCACCATTCAGCCCCAAGCCAGCCCAAGCTCTGCTGGTCAGTGATAGAGCTCTGTAGCACAGAGAGAGGAAGGAAGGAAGGAAGGAAGGAAGGACAACTCTCTCTCCAGAACCACCTTACACCCTATGCCATTTGCCCTTCAAGGGGTAGCGCCCCAGTAACCCAAGGCCTTTCCTCCTGGCTTTGCCTCTTAAAGTCCATCCATTCTCACATCCCCACACAGAATACCCAGCTCCCACACGTGAACCCTACAGGGACACGCCACATCCAAACCACAGCAGAAACACTGGAGAATGGTGTGTGTGTGTGTGTGTGTGTGTGTGTGTGTGTGTGTGTGTGTGTCTGTGTAGGGAACATGAAAGGTTAGAAAGAGCAAGAGGCTTCAGGCGTGTGCCAGGGGCAAAGAACAGAGACAAAAATAACTGGCACTGGGTGCAGCGGAGCAGGCTGCAGTCTCAGCTACTGAAGAAGCTGGGTCAGGAGCCGAGGAGTTCAAGTTAGGCTGGGCAAAATAATGAGAACCTGTATAAAAAATTAGCAAGATTTGGGGAAAAAATTAGCAGGAAAAACCAATCCAAACCATAGATGTATTTAGTTTTGCTCACACAACATTTTTAGAAGTTTCAAAATTAGCTGCCAACATTGAGAGATCTGGGTTTTCGCACTGAAAAAAAATCTCTGTTACCAACTGGTCTCAAACACCCGGTTTAGTACTTTCAAAACTGTTATACAGATTCAAAGCAATCTCAATCAAAATTCCAACAGCATATCTCACAGAGTTAGAGAAAACAATTCTAAAATTCATCTGGACCCAGAAGACACCTAGAATAGCCAAAAGAATCCTAGGCAACAAAGACAAGACAGGGGCATCACAATTCCTGACTTGAAGTTATACCATAAAGTTACTGTGATAAAAGCAGTGTGGTATTGGCAAAACAAAACAAAACAACAGATCTAAAGATCAACAGAATAGGGGCTGGGGGTTTAGCTCAGTGGCATAAGCGCCTGCCTTGAAAGCAGGCAGTTGTGAGTTCGATCCCCGGTACCGATAAAAATGAAAAAAAGACAAAAAAAAAAAAAAAAAAAAAAAAGAATATATAAAAAACTCAAAAAAATCAGTCTTTCCAGATTTAATAACCCAATCCAAAAATGGACATCTGAGATGAATACACACTTCTCAGATGAAGAAATATGAACAGCAAATAAATATGTGAGAAAAGTGTAGCTCAGCATCACTGGTCATTCAAGAGATGCAACTTAAAACAACACTGAGATTCCACCTCCCACCAGAAAGAATGGCTATCATCAAGAAATCAACCAATAACAAATGCTAGAGGGGCTCCTCTGTTGGTGGGAGTGTAGACTGGAACAGCCACTGTGGAAGTCGGTGTGGAGATGCCTCAAAAAACTAGGACTAGAGGTTCCATTCAATCCAGCTATTCTCCTTCTAGATATCTTCCCAAAAGAATTTAAAACATCACACCACAGTGATATATGTGTACCTATGTTTATAGCAGCACAATTTATAATAGCCAGATCTTGGAAACAACCTAAATGCCCATTGATTGAGGAATGGATAAAAAAGATGTGGTTTTTTAAAAAAATGTGATATTTTTATACTTTTATCCTTCTTCAGCCATCAAGAAGGATAAACCGGAGACTTTTATAGGTAAATGGATGCAACTTGAGACCACACTCTTAAGTGATATAAATAAGACTCTCACGTGTAAACATCATATTGTCTCACTAGTGTGAGAAGCTGACAACATATATATAGGTATATGCATATAAAAATAGGATAATTATACTACTGATTTTTCTGAGTTCACTGAAGAGAAAGATTTATTCTGGTGTTGTCTGGACAACTGAATGCAGATGTCTTGTGCTCTGGGTGAATGATTTGGGGATGACAATGTGCACTGCATGTACCATTATTTTTTTGTTTTTGTTTTTGTCTTTTTCCTTTTTATCGGTACCAGGGATTGAACTCACGACTGCCTGCTTGCAAGGCAGGCGCTTACGCCGCTGAGCTAAATCTCCAGCTCCACATGTACTATTATTGCCTTCTGATTGATGTTTTGAATTTTTTTCTTTCTCTTTGAAATAAAATGAGTTTGGAAAAAAAAAAACAGATTTAGCCAGGTGGGTTGTTCATGCCTATAACCCCAGCACTCAGGAGGCTGAGGCAGGAGGATCACCACAAGTGTAAGGCCAGCCTGGGCTACATAGTGAGTTCAAGGCCAGGCTGATCTGTAAAATGAGACCCTGTCTCATCCCACACCCAAGAAAAAACTAGGTTTGTCATTTCTGCATGGCAGCAGAGGGCTGGAAAACCACAGTAACCTCCCCCCAACATACACACATACACACACATTGTTCTTCAGCAGTATACATCCCTGTGGCCTGCCTGTTCCTGTGTGAAGAGTTCAAGGAGGCTAAAAACTCTTAGTGACTCACTATAACCCAACATCTGAGCATCCCAAGCAGGATCTTTCCATTCCCTTGAAGTCCCGGCTTGTTCTGTGAGTTCTTTTTTGTTTGTTTGTTTGTTTTGAGACAGAGTCTTGCTACATTGTTCATGCTGGGCTGAAACCCATGTTGACTCTCCTGCCTCAGCCTCCCAGGTGCTAGAATTACAGGCATGTGCCACAACACCTGGCATCCTATGAGTTCTCAAACACCAGGATGTGATAAAAGGTATGCTGTGACAGCTGTGTGCTTACCCTTTCAAGGCACTGGTAACTTTGTTTCCTCCCTCTCAAAAATCCTAGAATAATAAGAGATAATCAAACGGTTGTCATTTTCAGTCACAAAGGTTTGGATGGTTTGTTAGTCTGTGATGGGCAGCCCTTCCCTGTGGACAGTGGCTGGGTTGTCCTCCAGCCCCCGAGAAGGAATGTGAATCAGGCTGGGGAGGATGTACAGGCCAGGTCATGGGCGGGAGTTTCAGGAAGGCTGTGTCCATACTGAGCACCTCGGACTGCTTCTTCCAGGTGTTGAGGATCTGGGAGACATTTTCAGGGTAGGCCGACTTGCCTTTAGGAAAGTGATCCTAGCAACATTGGAAAAGGTTCTCTGGAGGCGGGGCATGGTGGCACCCATCTGTAATCCCAGCATTTGGGAGGCTGAGGCAGGAGAATCCCAAATTCAAAACCAGCCTGGATCATACAGAGAGGGCCTATTTCAAACCAATAACAACTGAGATTCATCAGAGGAAGGTAGGCAGCAGGCAGATTAGGAGGTGATGTAATGGTACAAGCACCTCCACTCAGATAGCTGTGATGGCTACGGAGAGAAACAGAGATTCAGAGTGGAAAGTTCCTCCTCCTCAAGGGCTCCCTGGGTTCTCCCTGAGGAACAGGCAGGTTAGAACCACGGAGCACTGGGGAAGTTTTGGGTCACAGGGCCAGGCTGGGCATTGTCAACCACAGGGTGTGGATGAGAGAGCATGGGGAGCTCTGGGGTTCTGGGGGAGTCTGGGTGTGACACTCTAGGGCACAGGAAGAGATGACCTGAGGAGGAGAGAAGAGAACCAGAGGGAATGCTCAGGAGGGAGGGAGCAGTTAGCTGCGTGGGAGGATCCGGAGCCCCAGAGGCCCTGGGGAGGGCAAGGGCAAGGCGTGTGGAATGGTGAGACAGGCTGAGAGGAAGTGCGGCCTGCTGTGAACAGCGCTCTGAGAACCCTGAGTGTGAGGAGGAAGAGTTAGGAGGTGGTCGGACACTTCGTGTGTGTGTGTGTGTGTGTGTGTGTGTGTGTGTGTGTGTGTGTGTGTTTTACTTTTCAGTTTTTGGGATAGGGTCTTTTTGTTTGTTTGTCTTCTTCCTTTTTAGGGACAGGGTCTTGATATGCAGCTCACTTGTGTCAATCTTACTTTGTAGCCAGGCTGGCCTCAAACTCATGGTAATCCTCCTGCCTCAGCCTCCTGGGTTCTGGGAGTATGGACATGGTAATGTCTGGCAACCCACTCTTTTTAATTCATTTTTATTTTGAGACAGGGTCTTGTTAAATTACTCAGACTGGGCTTGAATTTTTCGTCGTCTTGCCTGCTTCCTGAGTAGCTGGGATTACAGGTATTGCCAGCAGGCCTGGCCACCTACCATGTTTTTATACAGTGCAAAGGGAGGCCTGTGGAGTGAGAACCTGGCTGCACAGATTAAGGGGTTAACATACAGACTGAGGTCCCAGGGGAAAGGAAAGGAATGTGTCCCAAAAGAGACATGCCGGGGGCTGGGGATTTAGCTCAGCCTTGCAAAGCAGGCAGTCATGAGTTTGATCCCTGGTACCGATAAAAAGGAAAAAGACCAAAACAAACAAAAAAAAAGAGACATGCCAGCCGCAGGCCTGGGGAGACCCTTGGCAAACCAAGGCTCTAGAAGCTGGGGATGTGGCTGCTGGGGGAACTGAGGGAGAGGGGTTCCCATTACCTCACTGTGAACAGGTCAAGGGTCATTTCGCAAAGCAAGCAGCCTGGCCTCAAAGCCTGGGGCAAGGCTGATTTAGGCCTGAGCTATAGATGGTTCAGCACTATGACCCGTCTAGGCCTCATGCTAGGAGCTGGGACTGGCACCCGGATTTGGCCCCTGGACCTGATTAGGCCACCTTAGTGGACCTGAAATGAAAGGAAAACCTGCTATAAAGCTGCTAGACTTAACCTGCTTCAGCTGTTCACAGCCTGTAACTATGCCAAACCCTGCCCTCGCAGGCAGGCATGAGACTCACCCTCCTGCCTCCACGCACGGCTGTGTGAATACGTTCTTCCTCTTTCGCCTCATTGGTCATTTCAGTTGTTGGCATCCTGTGTGACAGGCAAACAGCTTAGACATCTAGAAAGACCACTTGCACAGGGACCCTGTCACTCCTTTGCTTAGCAACTGGTGAGGGCTTCTCGCTGCCTACAGGGGCCCTGCTTGGCGTTCCTTATCATTTGCCTCTGGCCACCTTCGGGCTTCATGGCCTCCGCACCTCCTAAGTCCCTGTCCCCAGCCCTGGGGTAAAGTTTGCCTTTCTCTAAAGTATTGTAACTTTTTTTTCTGCCTTTACTAGAATGGCTTTCCTCCCTTTCCCCCTCCTTTTTCTCCTGGATAAACTATGAAGTCCCAGTTTAAGGAGGTGGGTTCAGTGGCACACATTTGTAATCCCTGCTACTCAGCAGGCTGAGGCAGGAGACTCTGTATGTTTAAGACCAGCCTGAGCAACACAGTGTGACTCTGTCTCAAAAAAAGAAATTAAAATTAAAAAAGACCCAGTTTAAACGCAACCCTGCTGAGCCATGTGTGCTGGTGCACTTAGAAGCACTTAGGGAAGCTGAGGTAGAGGACTGCAAGTTTGAGGCCAGCCTGGGCAATTTAATGGCATAATGAGACCTAGTTTCAAAATGAAAAGCAAAAACGGGCCTGGGATGGAGCTCACTGGAAAGGCTCTGTATTTAATTCCCCTCAGGAAGACTGATTGGTTTTTTGCCAATCTTGTAAACTTGAATATAAGTTGTATATTAGACAAAAATATGAAATTATTGCTAAATATTTTCAGTGTAACTGTGCATTACCTAATGGGATTGTGGTTGGGTAAGAGTTATCTGATAAAGCATCAGTGAATCTCAAAAGTGTGCTCAGTGAAAAAGAACAAAACATAGAAAAAATAGAAAAAGAAACAAAAACACAGTGAAAAAAACCAGATCCATACCGATGATTTTCTTAGTATAGAACATTTTAGAACATGTTCAATTAACTTATAGTGACAGAACACAGAGCAGTGGTTGCCTGGATCTGAGCTTAGGAACCATGGAAGGGCATGGGGGAAGTCGTGTGTGGGTGTGTGCACACACATGCCTGCTTAAACCTGGGGAAAGAGGGCAATAAGGAACACCAGTGCTGTGTTCTGAGTCCTCCCGCAGACAGCTCCAATGAGAGGCTTGGAATTAGGTCCCAGGCTGTCGTCGGCCTATCCCGAGCGGCCTGCACTGATCTCGGGCAGTGCTCTCCAATGGCAGGTGTGAATCTAAATCACCCAAGATCTTCTGGCCCACACTCTGTGTAGGACACACAGGGTGGGTAGGTGGACCAAAAAGGGGATGGAAAACGATAGTCTCTTTCCAGGGTCTGCAGAGCACTGGGCCATCAGGAATAGCGAAACGGCAGGTGGGAGGAGTGTCTTCCCAAAGACAGCTGGGGTGGGGGAGGCGGCCCAGCACAGCCACTTGTGCCTGGCATTTCCTGTATGTTCTGATTCATCCTTGTCCTCTATAAAGCGAGCACCACGTGTGCCAGGACAGAGCAGGAGCGTGGAAGCTTGCATTCTCTAGGCCACCTGACTCCACACTGCGCCACCTCCTCTTTAGGGTCAGGCCCACCAGAGAGAGCCATGGGAACTTTGCTGGAAGTATGGACTTTGTCCTTATATTTTATTCCATCTTTGCGGTGTGTACTTGGCTCCCCAGGGCTCTGGTCCTGCCTCCCTCCAGGGCAGATGGATTAGGGCTTTTTCAGTTGCAAGTGCCAGAAACCTAACCCAATCTCTTTGGTTTTATGTGGAAAAGGAAATTGTTACTTTATATAACAAAGTTGAGCCTGGCATGCTAGAGAATACCTCGGTACTCAAGGCTGAGGCAGGAGGATCTCTGAAAGTTTGAGACCAGTTAGGGATACACAGTGAGAACCTGACTCAAAAGCAAAAGCAAAACAAACAAACAATAACAACAACAAAAAAGTCGAGCCAGATACTCAAGCGATGTCTAGAATGTATCTGTCTCTGCACCTTGCCTCTGCTGTTTTCTGACTATGGTCACTGGCCAACTTTGTCTACAAAGTGACAAGGTGGTCACTGTAAGTGCTGTGCTGACATCCATACAGCTTACTAACCCCAGTGGAAAGAGAACTTGTTTTCAGCAGCTTCAAGATGAGCTTGCTTCCGGCTGCACAGACCTGAACCAAGCACCGTTTCCCGAGCCATTGTAAAGGGCTGCTTTGGCTGAGGAAGCTTGGGCTATGCGGTTACCCCGAGTCCCTTCCTAAGCCTCCCAAGCTGCTCGGGAAGAAAGGTTGAATTCCCAAAGGAAACTCGGGGTGTTGCCATGAATAAAGGCATGAATAAAGATGCAATGGTGAAGGGGCTGAGGGTTTAGCTCAGCGGCATAAGCACCTGCCTTGCAAGCAGGCAGTCGTGAGTTCGATCCCCGGTACCGATAGAAAGGAAAAAGACCAAAAAATAAAGAGGCAATGGTGAAATGCTACATAGGCATGATGGTGAACCTGTAACACCAACACTCTGGGAGGCTAGGGCAGAAAGATCCCAAGTTCAAGGCCAGTCTAGGGAACTCAGTCATTTAGCCCTATCTCAAAATAAAAAATTTTAGCCAGGTGTAGTGGCACATGCCTATAATTCCAGTACTCAGGAGGCTGAGACAGGATGGTTGCTTCGAGTTCAAGGCTAGCTTAGGTTACACAGTGAGATCCTGTCTCAAAAACAAACAAACAAAAAATAAATAAATAAAAAACTTAAAAAGGGCTGAGAGAGCCAGGCATGGGTACATGCCTGTAATTTCAGCATTTGGGAGGCTGAGACAGGAGGATTTGTCACAAGTTCCAGGACAGTTGGGCTACATAGTAAATTTAAAACCAACTTAAACTACACAGCAAGACCCTGTCTCAAAAAATAAAATAAAAGTTAAATTTAGTTCAACACAAACACACACATGCACAAGCAAAAATAGGTGAGGCCTGTTTAGCAGCAGTAGGAGAGGCAAAGACCTTCTGACACTAGCAGGGAAGCTGGCTGGCTGGGTGGCAGGGGCTTCGTGCCTACCATGAAACTGGTGCTCAGGGACGCCTGCTTTCCAGACCTTCCCACCTGATGGCCTCACCTGTTCTGGGCAGCAGCCCCATCCTGCAGCCCTCCCTATGTTGCAGGCCACTGGTCCTGCAGACAGCATCGCCTGCCCAGCCCAGCACACCCAGCCTGGGCTCACTGCCTCTGGGCGTGGTTTTCAGGTCCTTTCTGCGGGTGAAGGTAGTGTGCCTCAATCTCCTCCTCTGCTACCTGGGGCAGGATTGAGTGAGTGTAGTACAAGTTTGTTTGTAGTGTTTAGAATGGTTGGAGGTGGTCAGTAAACACTAGTTATTATTTTAAATTTTTTTTTTTTGTCTTTTTCCTTTTTATTGGTACCAGGGATCGAACTCACGACTGCCTGCTTGCAAGGCAGGTACTTATGCCGCTGAGCTAAATCCCCAGCCCCCCTAGTTATTATTTTTATCACTTCAGCCAGCAGACCCTGCCCCAGCCCTGGCCAGTCGCAGCCCCTTGGTTATAATTCAACCCAGATTTTTACAGCTGAATAACTTCATAACACTTCCACACACCTTGTCTCACACGAGCCTCATATCTTTGTGAGGTGGACAAGACAAATCTTATTTGTCCCTAGTCATGGATGAGGAAACTGACGATAAGAGAGGCTAGGCCAAGCTGGGGATTTAGCTCAGTGGCACAGGTGCCTGCCTGGCAAGTGCAAGGTTGTGAGTTCCATCCCCTGAAACAAAACAAAACAAACAAACAAAAAAAAGAGGCCAGGCCTGTTGCCCACTGTCAGGTGGTAGAAGGGAAAGGTGTTTCTTGGACTTCTTCACACCGCTGGCCCTCTGACCCTCATCTAGCCATGCCAGTGCCTCTTCTCACCCTCCCAGGTCAGGCCCCAGTACTCTGTAGTGGCAACAATGATGGGAATTAATATTTATTAAGTACCTGGTTCTCTGTAGATGAGATGCTCCTGTTCTCCTAGGTAACCCTCCTCATAACCCCAGAGGGAAACAGAGGCTGAGATCCCTCAGTCGAACCGATAGCCAGGAGTCACACCCAGAGCAGCCTGATTCTGTAGAAGGCCTTTCTTGCCCTCTTTGCCCGGTACCCCTGGGAACCCAAGGATGGGTATGGACCCTGACTCCTCTAGAGCCCACGTGTGTGGGGGAAGTAATCTGTCTGGGTGGGTGCCACTCCTCTTGTCAGGCCAGGCCTAGAGCTCCTAAGGGTTGGGGCAGCCCTTTGGTCTCCGTGACCCCTGGCAGCCCGCAGCATTTATTCTTTGCTTCCACTCTGGGAAGCAGGAGGCCACGGTGCCTGGGATGACGACCTGAGTCCTGGGAGGTGCATTGTCACCCAAGGCCACCCGTTAGGCCTGTGAGAGCCAGAGCGCAGGCCCCTGGGCTCCCCTCTTTGAGCCCCTGTTCCAGTTCCCCATCCGCTTGGCCTGCTGGGCAGGGCACCGGGCCTGCAGCCTAGGTGAGCGAGGGCAAAGTGGGCAAGGAGACACTGGTGGGCTTCTGGGCGCGCCCAGTGACACTGGGGAGCAGATGTGACTCCTGGTAACTGCAGCACCTGTGTGGGCTGGCCGGGCAGCGTGGCCGAGCGAAGGGAGGAAGGATGGAGGGCAGCGGCGCCAGCCAGCGGAGGGCAGGGCCAGGCCGAGCCCCGCCCCGAAGGGGCGCTGCCACGCCGAGGAGGCGGCGCTCAGCGGCTTCTCATTCATTGTCTTGACAGCATCCTCAGCGGGCTGGTCTCCGGCTCCTCCGCACCTTCCTCTTCCCCTTCCCCCTCCAGTTGTGGGGTGCGCTCACCTCCTGCAGCAGGTAAGGCTGCGTCCCGGGGAGCGGGCTGAGCACTGTGGCTACGACCACCTGTGGGGCGGCGCGCGTGGGCGCAGCAGCCGGCTGCGGGGGCGGGCGGGCTGTCAGGGCAACCTGGCTGCCTCTGCCTTCCGGGCGCTGGCCGGTCACCCCGCGGGGAGCCCCGGTGCTGAGGAGTGCGAGCAGCCGGTGGAGGGGCACGGAGGACCCGGGGTGAGGGCAACGACTGCTGCGCCCAAGATGGAGGTGGGCACGCGCCAGGGACCGCCAGGAACGCGGGTTCCCCTGAATGGACGGTAGCGGCTAGGGCCGGGGTGGGGACAGTGGAGCAGCTGCCCTAAGCTCGGACACAGGAAGGCCTTGAGAGCAAAACAAGAAAAGACCAAGTTCCCCTTTCCGTGGTTTCTGGGCCTGGTACCTGGGTGGGGGAGGAGACGGGTGGGGCGATGGCTTCCTGTGCCCCCACCCTTGGTTTAGGCTTCCCTTTCCCTGCTCACCTGCGACTGACAGGCTTCTTGGAGCCCAGGGCTTTTCACCAGTGCTCTTCACCTGCTCCTGGAAAGGCAGACCTGGGGACCTCCTTGAGCGGCCAGGGAGGGCTGGAGCACCCAGAAAGAAAGGGCCAGGACTGGATGAGGCCGGCGGTGACAAAGGCTTTGGGCAGGGAAGGTGCCCTCACATGGCGCACAGGACCCTTCACTGAGAAGCAAAGTGTGCAGTTGGGCCCCCAAATGGGCCTAGAAAGCGGACAGGACCCCTTTGGCTTTGCTTGTGCTCTCCTCAGCACTGGTGGGGGAGAGGATCCCAGCTGGACGCAAGAAGCCAGTGTGGGCTTCTCCCTTCTTCTGTGCAGTTATAGTGGGGGTGGAGATGGTGCTTATTAAGGGCACCTGCTTCTTCTGAGCAGAGGCGAGAGGCAAAGGAGTGGGGAGGAAATACTGGGACCTGAGCCACTGCTGCTTCTGATGCCCAGAGACCTA